ACGCTCTTCTAAGACTGTACATTTATCCCAGTTTCCCATACTTCTAAGGCATAAATTCATCTATGGGCAAAGAGCTACTCAGTGTCTCTTCACAAATACATTTATAAGCTTCTATAAGTAACCAATTTCTTTAATTACAGGGCCAATTTAATAGTCCTTTAAACTCTCTGTTGATTTTCTTTGCATGTTCTTCTCCAGATTTATCATATCTTTGGTAAAGTTGGATAAGCTAACCTTGGCATAATTTTTTTGCTAAAGGTTCATCCTATTTAAAAACCATACGAAAGATTATCTTACTCCTGGTATTTCATATTCATTTCAGGGTATCCTAGTAACATGTGATCCCTTTATGCACAAAATATTTCTAATAAAGCAAACTTCTATTTTACCTGTGTTCTACCATGTCCTTAGTCATCTCCACTTATTCTTGTGTTTGGATTGTGTTTCTTCCATTGTAGATTATGTTGCTAATTTTTTATCCCTAAATGCATCATCCAAATGAATACCAATTCATGTGGTATTGGTATTTGGCTAATTTTAGTTATAAGTGCTAACCCGCATTATTTACCAATGTAACAAAGGTTGGTTAAGTTCTAAGTTTCATAATTTAATAAAGAGAATATTCCTTTGATGCTAGATCAAAACGTCTTATGAATTATAAGCTTACTTAATGATCTCTATGAGGGTAGACTCAATATTGATCATTTGTAAATATTTACTGACCTGCCAAATGCTATCCTCCATACTCCAAAACACAGTGCTTTTAGTACTCAATGTACAAAACAATGTTCTGTATATACATGATACTCAAATATTTGCTGGGTAACAGCATGAATGATTTTATAACTTCTAAATGCTAAGCTTACACAATTCACAAATATAACACACATTTGCTAGACTTTAAATCACTAATTAAAATGCTTTTTCTATTGGTTTTAATAAAGCAAATGAGATACTGACCTACATGTTGAAGTGTTTGCTTTAGAACAACAATGCAATTTAGCCCCGTCAAGGCCTGTAGAGGGAGGAGGGTGTGCAGTGACTCCAGGGTGAACAGATTGTGAACTTTCAAGAAAACACTGCCAAAGAGGATCTTGAGGCAAGGGCTGGGTCTTACAACCCTCAATGAGACCATCAACAATCTCCATTTCTGTTTTCTTAGACATCAGAATTCTCTTGCAGGCATTTTGGCAAGCATGGTGTTCAGCTCTGTCACAGCAATATAGACCTACATTTCCAGAATATAAGTGGCTTGATTAGCTGGTTCTATATCATGCATTGCTCAGAACAGAAGAATATGGCAGCGTAATAGAAACCATTACTACTTAGTTATATGTCTGTGTCTGTAGAATACAAGACCTTCTAAATTCTCTCTCCATTACTTTGCAGGGTAGCAAATAGTTGAGGTGCTAAAGGTGGACAAGGTATCTACCCAGAACTCATCACTGTCTCAAATCCTGGGATCTCTAGAACCATCCTTACAAAAGTCACCATCCTATACCTTAAAGAGTCCTCAGGTAAAAGATATTTTATGTTCTTGGGGCTGGCAGGTGGCATGGTGGTTAAGAGGGTTGAACTCTGAGATGGCAGACTGTGTGTGGTTTGAGTCCCAGACCTGATGACTTGCTTTCTCACTTTCCCTTTCTCTCTCCCTCACTCTGTCCCTCTCTGGTCAAATTAAAATAAATAAAGTTAAATAAAATAATTCTTTATTAAAAAAGGTATTTTATGTTCTTAGAAAAAGCAGTGTATATCAAACTGGAATTATTATTTTAATATTGTTATATAATATTAATATTTCCTGTAGAAACCATTACCTAAAAGAGGATATTTTGACATGAAAGATGATTAATTTTTATAGCAACAAACACCATATAAAGCTTTTATTTTAAAAGGTTTGTTACATCTTCTACGAGCAAAGGAGCGAGAGACAGAGAGATAGAGAGAGAGACAGAGAGAGAGCAACCGTAACAAGGTCTTTGCATCATGACTACCCTCAGCTTCAGGTAGCCCCAGATCCTGGGCACCTGCATGCCCAGGGTACTCAGGAAGATCTCTACACTCACATCCAGTACCCTCTATGTGGGTCCACCTCGTGGAGTGTTGTGTTTTAACCTCTATGCACTGTCTGGCCCCAGCATCAAGCTTTTCTTTTTCTCTTTTTTTGGAGAGGTTTTTGCTATAGGGCACATGTACTCGCCAGACAGACATAGAGACAGAAAGCCAGAAATCACCCCCTGGGGGCGAATGGCCATGCCTCAATCCCTTCTCCTCCATTCTCCTCTAGGGATCTTGGGCACGCACGCACATGCGCCCGGCGTGAGTTTAAGCCACCGGGTCCGGGACTCAAACCGTGGACGACTACGTGGGAGTCCAGCGACATAGCCATTACGCTAACTGCTGGTCCCCAGCATCAAGCTTTTATATAAATAAGTAAATTATTCTGAGTTGAAATTTTTAAAATGTTTTTATTTATCTCTTCCCTGAGGAGAGAGAAAGAAAACGATAGAGAGGGAAAACTCCCAACAGTCTCTACGCTGTAATCTTCCCTCAGTAACAGCTGGCCTGGATCTGCTTACCCAGCATGCCCGAGAGGTCCTGGGATACGAAATCAGGACCTTTCTCATGTGGGTCTAGTTGTGTTACCACAGTGCCACCACCTGGCTCCTAAGCTGTAATTTAAATGTAACAATAGCAAACTCTGACACGACATCAGTTTGCTTCTGCCTTTAATTTTCTACAAAGAAGAGAAAATGAAAGAACACTTTCAACTAGACTACAGAATTTAAAGTAGTTTTCTGAGGTATCATTGATTTTTAAAGAAACCTACTCGAGTATATTTGTTTGCAGCCTTCTTTTACAGATTCCTCTACATTAGCACAGACATTGGAGATTTTCTTTCTTTCTTTCTTCCTTTCTTTTTTTTTAGATACAACACTTGGAATAACCCAAATGTCAAGGAACACAGATCTCCCTTTAAAACAAATGAAGGTTATTTGTGGCAAAGTCTTCATCTTTTCATTTTCTTCTTCTTCTTTTTTTTTTTTTGCTTTAGGGTGCTTGTTGGAGAGACAGATAGAGACAGAGAGACAGAAAGTGAGAAATCACCTCCTGGGGTGATGACCATGCTGCAATCCTTTGTCCATTCTCCTCTCGGGATTTGGGGCACGCACACACGCACACATCCTGGTGTGAGTTTTAAGCTACCAGGTCCAGGATTTGAACTGGGGTTGACTATGTGGGAGTCCAGTGATGTAACCATCATACCACATGCTGGTCCCCATCACAGAATGTTAAAAAACTTAGCGTTCTGATTTAGATGGTGGCCAAACAAGACACACAGCCTGCTTCTGAGTTGAGTTCACAAAAACAAGACTATCAATAACCCCATGTAAATCAGAACACTGGCATTTTACTTTTAAGTCAGTCTTTTGTCAGACCAGTTAATCAGTGAGCTCTTAAAATCTGATTGCCCGTGGATGAAGAAAATGGATTCTAGGGAGTAGAAAGCTGAGGCTTTGAAGACTCTCATAAGATATAGGTTAATTAGGAAACTCTAGTTAAAAAAAAAAAAAAGGTGTGTGCGCATGTGTGTACACATATATATTTTATATATATATAGACACACAATACATATAGCTCTTTTCAATTTCTTTTTTTTTAGAGAGATTTTTGCTATAGGGTATATGTGCTTAACAGAGAGACACAGAGACAGAGAGACAGAAAGGTAGAAATTACCCCTCTGGGGGGATAGCCATGTTGCAATCCCTTCTCCTCTCAGGATCTTGAGCATGCATGCACACATGCCTGACATAAATTTTAAGTCATAAGGTCTGGGACTTGAACTGCAGTCGACTATGTGGGAGTCCAGCAACGTAACCGTTACACCATCTGCTGGTCCTGCTCTTTTCATTTTTAAGATTTTTAAATGATAAAAGTGATTGCTCATTGGTAAAAATTTAAACATTACAGAAATTATGATGTGGGAAATTGGATATATAACTGAAAGATACCACACTATACTTTTTATTCTATACTTTGTTTTTTACGCTTAATGTATCTTGGACTTCTTCCTATATAAGCATAATACTTTCTTTCTGTTGATTGAATATCATAATTTATGCAATCAATTCTAATCAATTCCTTATTGATAGACATTCACTATTTCTAATTTTCTTTTATTACACCAATGTTGTAGTGAACATCCTTTATATCTATAGGTATTTTTTGTCAATCTGTATGAATTTTCTTGATGGATCAATGATAAAAAATGAAGTTGCAAAATAAAAGATATGATCATTTGAAATTCTAATGGTCATAACCCAACTTCCCTCCAAAATATTTGCACGATGAGCTCTCCCACTCTCAGAAAAGAGAAGGCTTCTTTCCTCCTAACCTGGAAAGCCTAGTCTTTCTGGGCACCTTTAAGCTGTGACAATAACATCCAGTCTGCCAAATTTAAACAATAAAGGAAGTCTGATGTTTCCCAAATGACCCAGACTGTGGGTATCTACAAGAATGTATCTCCTACTTTTACAAACTCTTACCATTTGTACCAAAGATTGAAGTGAGAGGCATGTGTCCCTTTTACTTACTATCTGTTGGGTTCCTCATTGGATAAGACTGGGTGTAATTGTTCACACAGTGTATTAGTTGTGGACTAATAGAGGCACAATAATTTTCCACTGCTTTGATCTGGGACGGACCAGGAGAAGAGTCTGTTCGAAAAATGGCTTGACAGTATTCCCGGCAGTTTGTGTGATGACCTGCATAACTGCAACACACCGAACCCACTGTGGGGGAAAAAGAGATGACATTGAAGTAGGAACAGCTTTTTGTTAACATGACCTCATTGTTATAATGGTGGAACAATATGTCTTTCTGAGTCTGAGCGATAAACCATGTCACAGAAGCACTGAAGTCAGCACTATCCCTGGCTATGGCATGGGAACCTTCAAGTGCTCACTGGTATAAAAAAGTCATTATTCATTCACTTCTAGATCTCACTTGGATGGGGGTGAGGAATGGTGAGGACAGAAGGACAGTTACCAGAAGGACAGGATGCCTATCTTCTGATTCCTTCATTAGGCTGATTTCCCCTCCAGTGGGGGAGGACGTAGATCGTGTGTCAGATTATCTGGGAAATCTTGAACAAAGCCCCTTAGAAAGGGCAGAAAACGAAGTATAGTCAGACAGTTAATGTTTCTTACTGCCCTTCAATATGACCTCCTGCCAAGTAAATCTTTTTTTTTTTCTTTTTCTTTTGGAGAGGTTTTTGCTATAGGGCACATGCAAAAGCCAGAAATATAGAGAGACAGAGAGACAGAAAGCGAGAAATCACGCCCCGGGGGGATGGCCACACTGCAATCCCTTCTCCTCCATTCTCCTCTCAGGATTTTGGGTATACACACACATGCGCCCGGCATGAGTTAAGCCACCGGGTCCGGGACTTGAGTGCATGGGAGTTCAGCAAAATAGCCGTTACATCAGCTGCTGGTCCCCTGTCAAGCAAATCTAAACAACCATTCTCTGGATGTGCTCTCCCATCTTTAACTGACCTCATTATTCACCTCACCTGGAATGTTTTCTCCAGTCTCACTATTCACATCTTTCCCATCCTTTAAGCCCCAACACTTATAAACCCCACGAGGTCACCTCCAAGCACTCCTCCTTCCTATGAGCTCCACAATTGATCAGTGTGTGATTCTATATCCTACCATGTCCCAGAGTTCTTTGCGTACAGATTATGTCACCCTAGATGTGTGTCTTCCCCAAAGAGAGCAATTCACAATAAATGTCTGCTGAATGAACCGAGAGGCAGCCCTTGGCAAGGGCTACATTATAAAATGTGGCTGTGCTAACTTCTGAAAGTGATCCTTTTTATTCAAGGGAGGGTATGATCTTCCTCTACCACCTCTCACTCCAGCCATCTGCTTTGTAAATGTGCAATTAGGACATGGGAATTGTTATAATACATGAATGGCCTGAATACAAGAAGAAAGAGCCTATCAGAATCCTGCTGAGTGCATTCCTTCAGATGGCTTACTAACAGCCTAGTTACAATGGCAGGCTAGAGGCCATATCCATAACAGCTAATTATGCTCTTTAATTTGTGTAGCCATAAACCTTTTAATCAAGGACAACATACTTACTTTCATTTCTGCTAATGCAACTGAAAAGAGCATTCTGTAAATTAAAGAAAAATAAACAAACAGAAATTAACAACCAGACAGAATTTCTCATTTTATTTCACTTCATAGTTATATGGAAATCAGGATACCAAGCTACTTAATTCTTCTCTAAGTCCAAGACTGAAAACACAGAAGCTTTGGAGTGACATTCTGGCAAAAGGGGACACTATCTTCTAAACACATATTAGGGATCAAAATTATTGTCCCAAGCAATAAGTTGACCATGTTACAACAAACCAAGTTTATACAAAGCTGTGTTAATGTATGTATGTGTGTTTGTGTGTGTGTGTGGTGGGAAGATCTACAATGTGTAAATCTCAACTATCTCTTATAAGATAAAAACATTTTTGCAGAAAATAATCTAATAAATGACATTTAGGGGGACCAGCAAATAGTGTAATGGCTTTGTCACTGGACTCCCATGTAGTTGACTGCAGTTTGAGTCCTGGACAGGTGGCTTAAACTCACAACAGGCATGTGTGTGTGTGTGTGTGCGTGCGTGCCCAAGATCCCGAGAGGAGAATGGAGGAGAAAGGACTGCAGCATGGCCATCCCCTCTGGGGGATGATTTCTCGCTTTCTGTCTGTCTCTTTCTGGCGAGCGCATGTGCCCTATGGCAAAAATCTCTCTCTCTCAAAAAAAAAAAAGGACATTTAGGAAAGTATGTCAAATAACCACACTACATTTTTTGTTTGTCTGTCTTTCGTTTCTGTCATAAGCTGCATGCGCTAGTCTAAGAGAGAGAGAGATGAGAGGAAAAGTGAGAAATCACCCCCTGGGGTATGGCTATGCTATAATCTCTTCTCCATTTCCCTCCTGGGATTTTGGGCATGCACACACACACACACACACACACACACACACACACAGCCCTGGTGTGATTCTCAAACTGCTGGGTCTGTGACTTGAACCGTGGTCAGCATGCAGGAGTGCAGCACTTTAACCACCATGCCGCCTGCTAGCCCCATAATGACCTACATTTTAGAGATGAAAGGGCCTTACAGATGATCTCTAACTGTTCTGACACATGTGCTGGAATCACCTGGGCTTTCCAGGCTTTACCCTAGACTATAGAACTAGAATATGGGGCCAGAGAACAGAAATCTAAAAAAATTTTCAAAAGTTATTTTTCTTTTTTTTCCCCATGACTGAGAGACAGAAAAATAGAGAGATACAGAGAAAAAGAGACAGGGTCCTGATACCACCATGTCCTGTCAGCCTCAGCCAGCCCTGGGTCATGGGCAAGTGTGTGCCCGCTGTACTCAGGGAAGTCTGTGGATACAAACCTTCCCATGCAGGCCAGCCTCACAGCTCTGTTCTTACCACTGCACCATCATCTGGCCCCAGAAATCTTAATTTCAAACAAGGCTTCCAAGGTTGTTCCTACGTAGCCACCCTGGGACCAGAGTTTGGGAACCTCTTACTGTTTTAAAGATGAAGAAACAGTTTCCTTAGCAGGTCAAAGAGACACACTCTACACCCGACCCTGATCACAGAGGAAGTCAAAAGCAGAACTCAAGATAATAATCAGTATTTCTGGAGGTCTTAGATCACTGTTCAGAAAACACCATACTGTATTAAAGTTACTGTAAGGAAAATAAGAGAAAACAAAAAGCAAAATAAGACAAAAATGAAAACTTTCTGTACAAAGCCATCTGGATATTCAGGGTTTGTCAGCTAAGATTAGTATTATTCACCATGGGAATACATTTTTTTTAAAGATGTATTTTATTTAACTTTATTTTAATTTTATTTATTTATTTTAATTTGACCAGAGAGGAAAAGAGTGAGAAAGAGAGGGAGGGAAGCGAAAAAGCAAGCCACCAGGTCCGGGACTTGAACCATGGTCGACCAACACCCTTAACCACCACACCACCTGCTTGCCTCACAATTTATTCTTAAAAGAAAGAATAATGGGCATAAATAAAAGGTGGATGAGAATCACATTACTCCCCCCCCCCATTACTGGATATAGATGATTTTGGCTTTTAATTATAGCTAAATCACAAGTCTGTTATGTGATCTGGACTTGTTAAAGAACCAGCTTCACTGACCTCTAAGACCTTGCTCCGAAGATACAGCTCTATTGCATTCATTTCCTCCATAAATATCGCTCCATTGCAGGATTTATCCACTTAAGGGATCACAAAACACAACACAACAAAAACCCCTGGATCTCACAGATGAGGGCTAATGAATTCATCCAGTATGAGTTCTTTCAGCTAGAGAGCTCATTAACAATGTAAGAGTAGTGGAAAAGTAAATATTCTTGATGTTTTTTTAGTAATTTTTTTTAAAGCTCTCTCTTCATCTATGTTTCCTTGCTTTAGTCTGAATTTTCAGCTATTGATTATAGAGAGTCCTCTACTTGGGTCCACCAATCTCAAAATGATCCAAATCAGTATTAAAGTGCAATCTGCTGCCAACTTTCCGGCCTCCTTTGACTTGGTGAATACAGTTCTCATTGCACTTTTCTTCCTTTCTTTTGTTTTTTCCCCTTCCCTTTCGCCCACCCCCCTTCCTTTCTTTCTTCTTTTTTGGAGAGATTTTTGCTATTAGGGTGTGTGTACTCACCAGAGAGACAGAAAGCGAGAAATTACCCCCAGGGGAGAACGGCCACACCACAGTCCCTTCTCCATTTTTCTCTTGGGATTTTGGGCACGCGTACACATGTGTCTGCCTTGAGTTTCAAACTGCCAGGTCTGGGACTTGAACAGGAGCTGGCCATGTGGGAATCCAGCACTTAACCACAACACCACCTGCTGGCCCTGTGCCACCCCACCCCCCCTTTTTAATAAGTCGGTTGTTCCTTTTAGTTTTGGCTTTTATGATCTTGTACCTGAAGAAATTCTATCTTGGTGGCTATTTGTGTTGCTTAGCCTGATTTTCAGTTTTGGTATTCTTTGTGTTATTCTCTTTTCCTTTTTTTCTTTTAGGTTTTTGCCATAGGGTGCATGTACTCATGAGACAGAGGGAGGGAAAGTGAGAAATCGCAATCCCCTTCCTCCATTCTTCTCTTGGGATTTTGGACCCACACACATGCACCCAGCATTAGTTTCAAGCTACTGGGTTGGCCATTTGGGAGTCCAGTGCCTTAACAACCATGCCACCTGCTGGCCCCTTCTTTTAGTTTTTCTTAAAGTCTCTAGAGCAATGGTTCCCAAACAGGAGTGTTTTTGCCTTATAGGGGACAACTGGCAATGACTGGAGACATGTTTGGCCATGGCACCTGGAGGGCGAAGGGGTGCTACTTGTTCAAGAAAGGGATGTCACTGAACACCCTACAGGGCCCAGGACCTCTGCCTCCAGAACAGAGGGCGTCCGACTCACAATGTCCATAGTGTCAAGGCTGAGAAACCCTGATCTAAGGACTTACACATTTGTTCAAGCTGGATTTTTAGGAATTTGACTTTACAAATAAAAGTACTGACACTCTGGGTCAGTCTTGAGAATCATTCTGCTTTAGAGAGAGAAACTAAGGGACATAAAACCAAAATACTGTCAGAGATCACTTAATCCAATCTCCTTGGCGACAGAGGCCAGAGACAAGGGGTTAGAAAGGGGAAATACTGGGACCAGCAGATGGTGGAATGGTTATGTGTCTGGACTTCCACATAGTTGAATGTGGTTCAAGTCCCAGACCGAGTGACTTTAAACTCATCCCAGGTGTGTGTGTGTGCATGCTCAACACCCCAAGAGGAGAATGGAGAAGTGATTGTGGTATGGCCATTTCCCCAAGTGGTAATTTCTCGTTTTCTCTCTCTCTGTCTCTCCAGCAAGTACACACGCCCTATAGCAAAAATCTCTCTCTCTCAAAATAAATAAATAAATAAAGAAAGAAAGAAAGAAAAGAAAGACCACAGATTTCATTCACAGACATGGGTTGGCAAATGATGGCACACAGACCAAATCTTGACTGCTGCCTGTCTCTGTAAATAAAGTTTTATTGGAACACAGTCACATCTACTTGTTAATATATTATACATAGCTACTTCATGCCACTATGACACGGTTGAGTAGACAGAGACTGTATGGTCTACAAGACTAAAATATTGCTGTCTGGCCCTTTATAGAAAAGTCTGCTGACTCCTGAAGTACAGTGAGGACACAGCCATCTCTCTTCATGTAATATCCGGAGTTCAAAGATGTCCCCTGAGCATTTCATTTTCCTTAGTGTTCACTAACAAATTTTTCATGGATAGGTTACCCAAATTTGTTAACAAAAAGCTTTCATATCTTCACATGGCAGTACCTCTAGTAATAAATATAATTTTTATGTCTGCATCCATTTTTTTTTTAAGAATTGTTTTATTGGGACCAGCAGGTGGAGTGGTGGTTAAGGTGCTAGACACTCCCACAAGGTCGATCACAGTTCAAGTCCTGGACCTGGTGGCTTGCTTTCTCACTTTCTCTCTCTCTCTCTTTCTGTCTCTCTCTCTCATCACATTAAAATGAATGAATGAGGCCACCCCTGGGACCCGCGCCAAGCGAGGCGGCGGCGGGCGGAGGGGCCCTGCGCCGGCCCACCCGGGCCCGGCTGT